CTCCCGGTGCCCCCGCCCTCTCTCTCTGGCCGGGGCTGTCTCCCACTAGTGTCTCAGCCAGAGCCCCATCTCCGTCTCCCCGCCTCCAATCATTGTCCTGGGCCCGCTGTCGGGTCCCGCCAGCCGCCCCCCGTCCCCTCGCAGCCTCCCAGGGCACCCCCTCTCTCCTCTTCTCCACCCCCCTTGCCAATTCCTCAGCCCGTCTCGGTACCAGCTGCGTGCCAGCTATTCTTAGCCGAGGAGCGTTTGATTCATGCCGCCCCGGCGGAGTGTGCCCGCTCCCTCCCTCGGGGCCTGAGGGGGAGGGGCCGGCTCTGGTCCTGGGGCTCGGGGACAGCCGCGCGCGCGGGGGGCCTGGGCCGGCTCTCCTTTCATCCCCCCCCAGTCACCTTGTTAGTGCCGAGCTGAAGCCGAGGATCAGCCAGGGTCAGTCGAGGGGGAGTGGCTGCGGGCCCCAGGGCTAGAGGTGGGATGTGGGGTGAGCGCGGGGAGAGGGGTTAAAGGGAGGCTGGGGTCTCTGGAAGGGCAGGGTGAAGCAGCGCGGGGGCTGCGAAGCCCTAGCCCCTCGTGGGGGAGGGGTTGGCTGGCCGGCGCTTAGGTGTTCCCTCACCATGGCTCTTGGAACTCTCCTGTCCCCCACACACATTTGTCTTCTCTCCCCCACCCCCCAGCCCATCCCCACTCCCCCAAAGTCAGCAGTACCCTCCACTGCTTCCCATCTCCATGGCAACGGTGCCGGAGCCGGGCCTGGCGTGGGGGGGAGGGACCAGACCAGACATTCTGGTTTCCGGTGCTGGGAAAATATGGGGGAGGTGGACCCCATTTGGGACCCACCATTATAAGGCCACCTCAGAGAACAGTGGGGGTTTGCAGATGATCTCCCAGCCCAGTCCCCAGACCCTCATCCCACTTCTTAGTCTCCCTACCAGCCCGCCAACCCCCCCCCCCCCCACGGAGTGGAGCCACGAGTACCAGTCCATGCCAATCCGCCCACCCGCAGCACTAGTCCTGGAACATGCCCATAGGTCACCCGCAGCCGCCCGACACCGACCCAGGCCACTGCATCCCTGATCTTCCAGGGGTCAGCCTCCCGCCCACCCGCATGCCCTTTCAGGATGCTCCCAACAACCTCCATAGGTCACCTCTGGTGGTTCCCTCAGGGACACCCCACGCATGACGCCCTGCCCTGTGACACCCCATCTTGGTGCCCCCTTGCTCTCCTGGGACAGTCGATCCCCTAACAGCCCTGTGCACACACACACGCTGGCAGCCACTCGCCTGTGGAGTCAACGGCCCCACCTGCTCCCAGCACCCGCTCCTCCCACCCCAGGCTGCCAGCACCTCCGTGTCTCCCTTACTACCTCGCGGCTTCAGCCTCTCCCCAGCTCCCCAGAAGGAGAAGAGGAGGGGAGGGCCTAGGGTGAGGGGCCAGGCCGGGGCCAGGCCGGGGCCAGGAGGGCAGGATGCCGGCCGCTCAGTCCACCTGTCTGTCCTCTGCTAATTTTAGCTGTCTTTTCTGTGGCCTGGCAAAGTGGGCCAGTAGCTCCCGCGGTGATTCTGCGGTTTCTGGGACACAGCGACGCTGGGTCAGCGGCAAAGTGGGGCGCAGGGGGGCGGGGGGCTGCAAGGAAGGCCAAGGGCAGGGAAGGAGACCTGTGCTGGGAGCATGGCCGGGCTGGGGGTGTGTGCGTGTGCGTGCGCGCGCGGAGGCGGCAGAGGGGCGGAGTGTCTGGGGGTGTGCCCAGCCTACTTCCTGCCGGCCAATGTGAGCAATGGGGGGCGCCCGCGGCTGCTGGTCCCCGGGCTTCTGAGTGTTCCCTGGGCTCCCAGTCTGACGGCGTCCCTTGGCCCCCGCAGCTGCCTGTGATGCTGCCACCCCCCGTCGCCCCGTGGCCCCACGATGCCCCACAGCCCTGCGTCCAGCGAGGACGAGGAACGCCACAGTGCCAGCGAGTGTCCCGAGGGGGGCTCAGAGTCCGACAGCTCCCCAGACGGGCCCGGGAGAGGCCCCCGGGGGACCCGGGGCCGGGGCAGCGGGGCACCTGGTAATCTGGCCTCAGTGAGAGGCCCCCAGGGCCGCTCCATGTCTGTCCCCGACGACGCTCACTTCAGCATGATGGTCTTCAGGATCGGCATCCCGGATCTGCACCAAACGGTGAGCGACTGCGGGGACACAGGGGGGCTGAGTGGGCGTGGGGGGACTTCCGGTCCTAGGTGCCCTCCCAGGAAGCCCCTTTGTCTCCCTCCTGCCTTCAGTACCATCATCACCATCCCCCAGCCCTCCACCTGCTCCCAACCCACCTCAGGCTCCTCCCTGGCCCCTGACACACCCTCCCCCTGGCCTATCCCCTCCCCCACCAGAAATGCCTGCGCTTCAACCCCGATGCCACCATCTGGACGGCCAAGCAGCAGGTGCTCTGTGCCCTGAGCGAGAGCCTGCAGGACGTACTCAACTACGGCCTGTTCCAGCCGGCCACCTCTGGCCGCGACGCCAACTTCCTGGAGGAGGAGAGGTTGCTGCGGGAGTACCCCCAGTCCTTCGAGAAGGGGGTGCCCTACCTGGAGGTGAGGCCCACAGCCTTTCCTACCCCCTTTGCTGACAACAGAGGAGTGTCCCCCAACACATCTACCCTCCCCCTTATTTTATCTAAGACCTTGGAAACCTAGTGGGTGATTTCGGATCTCAGTGGCCTGGGGCAAGTCACTTCCCCACCCCAAGCTTCTCCTAACCCACCACAGGGAATGGGGGCCTCCCAATTACAGGGATGGGGATAGATGTAAAAGGGTCTTGCATACAATAAGCATTCTAGAACATTCACTGCAGACTCTTACTTCTTGATAGAGGCTGCAGTCTATATACCCCACAATGGTCTGGTGCCCTCAGAAAAGCCAGCTACCACCCCTCTGTCCACCCAGCTAAGGCTCCATGGCGGTTTCCAACCCTTCCCTTCAACCCTGAGCTGACCCCTGGCTCAGAAGGGGCCCGGAAGCATGGCGCAGGCCCTGCTCCCCCAACTTCTCCTCTCTAGGCTCCTGATTCTGAGTCTCTGTGTCTCTCCTCCCACCCCGCCCCTGGCCTCAGTTTCGATACAAGACCCGAGTTTACAAACAGACCAACCTGGATGAGAAGCAGCTGGCCAAGTTGCACACAAAGGTGAGAGAACGAAGCCCGTATTTATTCCCAATGCCCCTCCCTGAACCCTCTCCCCAACTCTCTATACCTTCCCAGCAACCCTCGGTATTCCCCAAACCACCTATTCCTTTTCCAGGGCCCTCCACTTAACTTAGGATGCCCCCAAAGCCTCCACTTTCCCCATCATACCCAATTCCGACTCATAGCAACTCTATAGGACAGAGTAGGACTGCCCCATAGGGTTTCCAAGGCTGTAAATCTTTACCGAAGCAGACTGCCACATCTTTCTCCTACAGAGCAGCTCCTGGGTTCGAACAGCTGAACTTTCGGTTAGCAACTGAGTGCTTTAACCACTGCACTACCAAGGCTCCTCTCCCCATCATAACCCCTTCTTAATTCCTTATTCCACCCTTCAGCCCCCTGCCCAGTCCCACACCACCTGGCTCCCATTTTCTTCACCCTTTGACTTCCCCTTCTCATCTCCTCCAAGTCCTCCCCATATACCATTCAGGCCCCTTCCCCTGTCCTTGGCCTGTGACCCTGACATCAGTTTCTCCATGCTTAGGGCCCATTTCAGACACACCCCACATCCCCCAATCCAATCTCCCAAATCTCACCGAATCCAAGGCTCACTCCTCCACCCCCAGCCATGTCTATCCCCCAGTACCTTGTCCCCCAATCCTCAACTTATGTTCCCTGTGACTCCCCTGATCTCGTAAGAGGTAGGAGGACGAGGGGTGGGGGGTGGCTCCTTTGGTCAGAGGTGATGTGAAGGAGTCTTGACATTCAGGAAGAAAGACCCTGTGATCATCCGAAGCCCCCCACACCCCTCCCACCACACCACACATTTCAACTGTTCGTTCTCCTAAATGTTCCATTTCTCCAGAACTGTACCGCCTTTCCCAATGAGACAGCCACTCCCACTGTGGCAGGTCCCAACCAAGTGTCCAACACACACTGGCTTTCAGAGACTTAGGACCAAAAAGAAAATGTAACCTTATCTTATGTTAAAAGATATTAACAATTTTTATACGGATGACATGTTGAAATCGTGACATTTTGGATCTTTTGGATTAAATACCAAACCCACTGCTGTCGGGTGGATTCTGACTCATAGCGACCTTATACAACAGAGTAGCACTGCCCCATAGGGTTTCCGAGACTGTAGATCTTTACGGTAGCAGACTGCCACATCTTTCGCCGGAAGGCTGCTGATGGACTCGAACTGCCAAGTGCTCAACCACTTTGGTTAAATACCAGAGATTGTTAAAATTAATTTCAATAAAATGATTTCTCTTTTCTTAAGGTAACTACTAGACCCCCCCCCCAAAAAAAAAAAAGACAGACACATCCCAAGGGGTTGCTATTCTTCTCCTTCCTTGGCCTTCCTTCTCTCTCCCTTTCCTCGTTTGCCTTTGTTCTTTCGAAAACTCCCAGTTCTTTCTTTTTGGTTGAAAATAGTCCCTCTTCATGCCCCATTCATGTTCCCAGTACAAAGCCCCTTCCACAGACCGCCAAATAACCACATTTGCAATGACCTCTTTTGCTGAAAGTGTATCTCCATCTCACGGGGATGCCCATCGTTGTTGTGGTTGGTTGCCGTGGAGTCGATTCCAACTCATGGCGACCCCACATGTGTCAGGGTAGAACTGTGCTCCATAGGGTTTTCAATGGCTGAGTTTTCGGAAGTAGATCACCAGGCCTTTCTTTAGAGGTGCCTCTGGGTGGATTTGAACCACCAATTTTCCCCTGTCTTTTCTCTGTCTCTGTCCGTGGCTCAGACGGGGTTGAAGAAGTTCCTGGAGTATGTGCAGCTCGGGACGTCCGACAAGGTGGCGCGGCTGCTGGACAAGGGGCTGGACCCCAATTATCATGACTCGGATTCGGGAGGTGGGTAGGGGGCCCGGGCTTAGGGAGAGGCCGGGGAACAGACGGTGTGGGCAGAAAACTGGGGAGCTGAGAACGTGGCGTCTGGGGACTGAGGACTGCGTGTGACTGCGCTTCCCCACCCCTCAGAGACCCCTTTGACGCTAGCTGCGCAGACTGAAGGCTCGGTGGAGGTGATTCGAACTCTGTGCCTGGGCGGGGCCCACATCGACTTCCGGGCGCGGGATGGCATGACAGCGCTGCACAAAGCCGCTTGCGCACGCCATTGCCTTGCTCTCACGGTGAGGCTGCAAGACCCCCAAGACCCCCAGACACCCTCTCCCAGAGACCCTCCCCCCCTTACCATGGACTGCTTTCCCTGCCCTTGGCCTGTGATCCTGATACCTAGTTTCCCTCTGCTTAGGGGTCATTTCAGACACACCCTGCAGTACCCCTAATCCCATCCCCCAACTCTCGGCCAAATCAAGGATCACTCCCCCACCCAGTATATCTGTTGCCCCCGTACCTTGCTCCCCACTCCTCAACTTATGTCCCCTGTGACTTCCCTGGTCTCCAAAAGGGAATTTCCCCAGACTCTTCCTCCTACCTTCCTTTCCCTCCTTACCCCCGAGACCCCCCTGTTTGCCTCCCAGACCCCTCCTCCGTTTCCCCCTTTGGCCTTTGTTATTTCTCAAACCCCGGTTCTTTCCTTTTGGTTGAAAATAGCCCTTCTTCATGTCCCCCGCACAAAACCCCTTTCCACAGACTGCCAAATAACCACATCAGTTGCTGTCGAGTTGACTCCGACTCCTGGTGACCCCATGTGTGTCAGAGTAGAGCTGTGCTCCATAAGGTTTTCAATGGCTGATTTTTTGAAAGCAGATTGCCAGGTCTTCCAAGGCGCCTCTGGGTGGGCTTAAACTTCCAACCTTTCAGTCGAGTGTGTTAACAATTCACACCACCCAGCAAGTAATACATCAGCTAGAACCAGTTCACCCGTTGCCATGGAATCGACCCAGACTCCTGGTGACCCTACATGTATCAGAGTAGAACTGTGCTCCATAGGGTTTGCAGTCGCTGGTTCTTCAGAATTAGATCGGGCAGCCTTTCTTCCAAGGCAACTCTGGGTGGCTTCGAACCATTTGCACCACCGAGGGACTGCCAGATACACAGTCCTTGTTGTCACTTCTCTGGCTGAATCAGAGACCCTCTCCCAGGCCCCCAGGTGCACCCACACTCCTGAGCTCTCTTCTGGCTACAGCAGACCCTCGCAGACTCTTTCCCCCCACCGCCAGGTCGATCATATCCTCTCACTCACACCCCCAGGTCCCAGCCTTCTCCTCCCGGAATTTCTCCATTCCCTCTGACCTAACGCAACACAGAGCCTACCTCTCTCTCCTCGAGGTATAGACCCTCCTTGTTGTTGTTGTTATCAAGTCCTTTCCAACTCATAGCGATCCCATGTGACAGAACCACCCCAATGGGTTTTTTAGCCTGTAATCTTTGTGGGAGCAGATCTTTCTCCCATGGAGTTGTTGAGTGGGTTCGAACTACCAAACTTTCGGTTGGTTTCGAGAGCTTAACTGTTGCGCCACCAGGGCTTTAGATCCTTCTCTTCCCTTAAATACAGTCTGAGCTCCCTTCTGTGTCGCCAGATACGGACCCTCCATGCACATTCTGAAAACACAGCCCCACTGCTTGCATCCTCCAAACACTGGCCCTCACACATCCCAACATCTGTCCTTCCAAAACCAACCCCCTCTCATCCCCCAAATACGCTCCCTCTTCTCTCACATGCAGCTATAGCCTCCTCCTCAATACGGTCCCCCAGATACAGTCTCTATATCCCTCACTCTCCCAAATACACAAACCCCATGTTATTGTTCTCGTTAGTTGCCATCAAGTTGATCCTGACTCATGGCGACCCCATGTGTGCAGAATAGAACTGTGCTCCATAGGATTTTCTTGGCTGTAATCTTTATGGGGAAGGAGCCCCGGTGGCACAGTGGTTAAATGCTTGGCTGTTAACCAGAAATTTGGTGATTCGATGCTACCAGCCACTCTGCGGGAGATAGATGTGGCAGTTTGCTTCCGTAAAAGATTGCAGCCTTGGAAATCCTATGGGGCAGTTCTGCTCTGTCCTGTAGGGTTGCTATGAGTCGGAATCGACTCGACGACAACAGCTTTTAATCTTTACGGAAGCAGATTGCCAGGCCTGTCTTCCTCGGTATGGCTGGGTGGTTTCGAAACACCAACCTTTAGGTTAGCAGTCAAGGGCAAACTGTTTTTACTACCTAGGGACCTTACAAACCTCATGTTGTTAGTTGCTGTCAAGTCAATTCCAATTCATGGTGACCCCAGATGTTACAGAGTAGAACTGCCGCCTAGAGTTTTCTTGGCTGTCATCTTTATGGAAGATTGCCAGGCCTTTTCTTCCGTGGTACGACTGGGTGGGTTCAAACCATAAACCTTTAGGTTGGCAGTCAAGCGCTTAATGATTGCACCACCTTGGCTCCTTACAAACCTCATACACCCACAAAATACACAGAGTCAGCTTGCACACAGTCTTATTCAAAAAGGCCCTTCCTCTCCCACAGCCCAGGTCACTTGTCCCCGCTTCATACATATGCCAGACTAGACTGCCCTCAGAATACCCGGCTGTTGATAAACATCCCAGCTCCTAAATGCTCCAGATTAATGAGCCCTCTCCTCCCTTCCCCAAACTCAAATCCCTCTTTTTTTTTAATTGTATTTTTGGTGAAAGTTTATGCAGCAAACTAGGTTCCCATTTAACAATTCTGTACATATTGTTCGGTGACATTGGTTACGTTTTTCACAGTGCGTCAGCATTCACATTGTTTTCATTCTGGTTGTTCAGTTTTCATTAATCTAGCTTCTCTTCCCCCCTTACCTTCTTATCTTTGCTTTATGGTAAATATTGACTGTTTACTCTCATATACATGATTATTTAAAGGAGCACAATACTCACGGGTAACACTGTTTATTTTATGAGCCAATCTACTGTTTGGCTGCACAGTGACGTCCAGCAGTGAGTTCAGTTACCAGTTTAAAGGGTATCTCAAGGTGATAGTCTTGGGGGATCCTCTAGTCTGTACCAATCCAGTAAGTCTTTTTTAAGAATCTGAGATTTGTTCTACATTTTTCTCCCATTCTATCTGGAACCGTTTATTGTGTCCCTGGTCAGAACGGTTATTGGTGATAGCCGGGCACCATCTAGTTTTTCTGGTCTCAGGATTTAAAAAAAAAACAAACCCATTGCCGTTGAGTCAATTCCGACTTATAGCGACCCTATAGGACAAAGTAAAACTGCCCCATATGATTTCCAACGAGCACCTGGTGTATTTGAACTGCTGACCTTTTGGTTAGCAGCCGTAGCTCTTAACCACTATGCCACCAGGGTTTCTGATCTTAAGACAGATGAGTCAAACACAATGCAGTCAAACACAGAGAACTGCCTTATTCCCCTGGAATCAACGGACTCTCTTTATGTATCCCTATTGTACATAACACCTAGGGTCACATACAGATCCTGCTCACAACCCCTCCCCCAAGACTCTAGACCTATATTGGCCAATATAGTAGCCACTAGCCATGTGTGGCTATTGAAATTTTTTTTTTAAATAATATTTTATTGTGTTTTTGGTGAAGGTTCACACAGCAGTTTAGGTTCCCATTCAACAATTTCTACACAAAGTTGTTCAGTGACATTGGTTACGTTCTTCACAATGCGTGAACATTCTCATTATTTCCGTTCCGGTTGTTCTGTTTCCATTAATCTACTTTCCTTGCCCCCTTACATTCTCATCTTTGTTTTAAAGTAATTGTTGACTGTTCTCATATAGGTGATTTTTTAAAGGAGCACAGTACTTACAGGTAATATTCATTATTTTGTGAGCCAGTCTGTTATTTAGCTACAAGGTGACCTCAAGGGTTAGTTTCAGTTCCCAGTTTGAAGAGTATCACAGGGCAATAGTCTTGGAGATTCACAGAGTCCTCCAGTCTCAACCAGTCAAGTAGGTCTGCTTTTTTTTTTTTTTTTTTAGGAATTTGAGGTTCTGTTTCACATTTTTCTCCCCTTCTATTAGGGTCTATCTATTGTGGTAGGGCTGATGAAATTTAAAGTTACTAAAATGAAATAAAATAAACAACTCAGTTCCTCAGGCCCATTTGCCACATTTCAAGTGCTCAGTATCCGCATGTGGCTGCCATATTGGACAGCACAGATATAGAACGTTCCTATCTTCGCAGAATGTTCTGTTGGACAGCGCCACTGCCAATACTCTCTCCTAATAATGCCCCATGCTGTCACCCTGCCATGCAAGCTTTCCCTTCTGTATGACCACTCCCTGTCCCCAAGCCCCCAGCCCCAGTTGGGCCCACCCAATCCTTCCCTTAACTCAACTTGCCCTTCCACGAGTCTCCCCTCTCTGTGCCCAATCTTGGGGATCCTGGTCCTAGTAACAGCTCCTGCTTGGCCAGGGATCCTATTATTTCCAGGCTGCACTCTTTCATTTGTCACCTACAATCACCTTGCAGAGTAGGCAGCTAGTTGAGGCTGCTGAGGCTCCAGGTCCTTCAATGGCTCAACCAAGTCAGCCATGGAAGGAAGGTTGGAGTTGGATGTCAGAGTGAGAGGGCCCTCTGGATGCATCTCCCCAGCCCCCTCGCTGTTCACAGGGAATGGAAGAGGCTTGGAAGTGGCGCAGGCAGGCCCTGCTTCCCCATCTTCTCCTCCCCAGACCCCTAATTCTGAGTCTCTCCTCCCACCCAGGGACAGATTACCCAATAAGCAAGGTACCCACGGGCTTACTTGTGCTTACTTACTAATCAGTAGTGCACAATTTCACCTGGATTAAATGTGGTGAAACCCATGTAAAATTGTGCACTACAAGCTAGTAAATAAACACAAGTAAGCCCGTGCATACCTTGCTTGATGTAAGCCTGTGCACACCTTGCTTGCTGGTTAATCCACTCCTGCTCCCACCCCATCCCTGGCCTCTATTTCAATACAAGACCTGAGTCTTGAGGGCCTTTCTCAAGGTCAAACAAAGGTGTAATGATAGAACTGAGACCACCATTGGCCAGTGTGGGCATCCAGGACCCCCCACCCACCCACTGACTCCCCCATGACTGTCATCTGTCTTTCTCTCCTGGACCCTCTCCCCCTTCCTAGGCACTCCTGGACCTTGGGGGCTCCCCCAACTACAAGGACCGCCGGGGGCTGACCCCTCTGTTCCACACGGCTATGGTGGGGGGCGATCCCCGCTGTTGTGAGCTGCTACTGTACAACAGAGCCCAGCTGGGCATCGCTGATGAGAACGGCTGGCAGGAGATCCACCAGGTGCTCCCGAATGGGCCGGGGGGGCTGGAGGCAGAGGGAGTCTGGACCCTGAGGGAGGCAGGGGTGGGGACCTTGGTGCTGGGTCACTGAAGTCCGAGGGACTGGAGATCCAGATGCTTGGGTCCTCACAGAGGGTAAGGGTAGCATAATCCCCAAAGAGGATGAGGATGGGTGTGTAGACACTGGGACCCTGAGGGGCCGTGGGCTGGGGGCTGGATACCTTGATCCCTGAGATGGGTGGACACCTGGCCCTTGGAATGATTGAAATTGTAAAACTGACCATCTAGGTCCCTAAGCAGGAAGAGGGGCTGAAAGGAGAAGGGGAAGTGAATGAGGGCTTCCTGGATTCAAAGCAGAGGATATAGACTGATTCCTGGCCCTGGGAGTCCAGGGAGGACTCACACTTGGGTCTGAATCTGGCCTCCTCTGCTTATTGTCCCCCCTTCCCCAGGCCTGCCAGCGGGGTCACTCCCAGCACCTGGAACACCTGCTCTTCTATGGGGCTGAGCCCGGAGCCCAGAACGCCTCGGGGAACACAGCCCTGCACATCTGCGCCCTCTACAACAAGGTCTGCCTGGCAGCACCTGTCCCAGGGGCCCACGCACCCACCCTCAGCCACCTCCCCACCTTCTGCTCCTTCACTGTTCTCATTCATTCATGCATGCACACATGCATGCATTCAACAAATATTTACTGAGCTCCTTCACTATTCTCATTCATTCATTTATTCAGCAAGTATTTACTGAACACCTTCCCTGTGTCAGGCCCCGAGCTGAGTGCTGGGGATAAAGCGGTGAGCAAGATGGACAGCTCTTTACCCCCAGGGTGCTGATGGTCTAGCAGGGGTCAGACCACACATGAGGCCACTACAATCCAGAGTGCTCAGAGCCAAGTCCCAGGGAACCCAGGTCCTGTGGGAGCCCCATCCTGGACTTGGGCTTGGATCTGGGGGTGGCGGTAGAGGGGGCTTCCTGGAGAATGGACCACCTGTGCTAAGAGCTGAAAGATGTGCAGGAGCTGGCCAAGTCAGAGAGGGAAGGAATGGTGTTCCAAGCAGAGGGAACAGCCTATGCAAAAATCCAGAGTTGAGAGATAGTAGGGCCCATGACAGGAAGTGAAAGGTGTTCCAAACCAAAACCAAACCTGTTGCCGTTGAGTTGATTCTGACTCATAGCTACCCTATAGGACAGAGTAGAACCGCCCCACAGAGTTTCCAAGGAGCACCTGGTAGATTTGAACTGCTGACCCTTCGGTTAGCCGACGTAGCTCTTAACAACTCCGCCACCAGGGTTTCTGAAAGGTGTTCAGTGGTGCTTATTTCCCGTGATTCTCCATTGGCAATAAAGCACCTACTGTGTGCAGGTGCTATCTAGGGGTGCTACAGGGGACAGAGGAGAAGCTGAGCCACAGCCCTGGAAGGGGGCCAGCGAGGCAAGTGTGTGTTGCAAGTTTTGACAATTCAGGGCTGGGTGGATGGTTCCCACTTCAGAAGAGCCCCGGAGAGGTGGACATAGACAGCTGGCAGGAGTGTCATCATGCCACAGCTCACACCATGCTGTGGGGATGGTTAGCAAGAGCTGGTGCTTTCAGTCTGGTGGCTTTGCACCTGTGTCACCTATGCATGCACCCAGGTGATCCTCGGCAAGTCAGCCCCTCTCGGAGCCTCAGTCTGCACATCCTCCCCACCCTTGAAGGGCTATTGTGGAGATTTAAGGGGTCAGGGCTTGATGTGATGCTCCACCTCTCCAGGAAGTCTTCCAAAACAGCCCCCAGCCCCGTCTGCCTCATCAGAACTTGCAGTCCTGGGACTCTGGCAAGTAGCCATGCGCTGCCTTGTGGCGGCAAGCAGTATGTTTGGCACCGAGGGAGGACTCTGTGTTTGCGAAACCAAACCAGCACGGGGCCGTCACTCCCCCTCCCCGTGTGTGTGACTGCCTCTCGTGCTCCCTGAGACAGGCCTCCCACCCGGTGCCTCTGACTCCACAACCCATGTGTGGCAGAGAGGGCAGAGGCCCCAGCAGACCAGGGGGCCCCAAACAATCCCATTCCCCTCCCTGAGGCTCCACCCCCTCCCTGAAATGGGTATAACATCAACAGATTGGAGATGAATGATCATGTATATTAAGTACTCGTCTATAGAAGGCAGGTATAGCAACAACCATAGCCATAATACATTTAATTACTATTAATAGTATAATAATATAACTAATATTATATAGTATATTGTTGTTGTCAGGTGCCGTAGAGTCTATTTTCAACTCATAGCGACCCCATGTGACAGAGTAGAAGTGTCCCATAGGGTTTTCTAGGCTGTAATCTTTGTGGGAGCGGATCGCCAGGTGTTTCCCATGGAGCCAATGGGTTGGTTCAAACCACCAACCTTTCTGTTAGCAGTCGAGTGGTTAACCGTTGAGCCACCAGGGATCCTTCAACAATAACCATAACCGTGATACATTTATTACTATTAATATTATATAGTATAATATAATAATATAATTAATATTATATAGTATAATGTAATATAAATGATTCATTAATATTAAGTGATGTTTTGTTAATAATCAATATTAACATTCATTAATAAAATCATCATCATTACCATATCAGTCAGGGTCCAATCAGGAGATCTCCCCCTTCCTCCTTCCCTCACAGTCCTGGTAACCATTAATAATCTTTAGTTTCTATATATTTGATTATTTAATATAAGTGATATCATACAGTATTTGTCCTTTTGCGACTGACTTATTTTGCTCAGCAGGATGTTTTCAAGGTTCATCCGTGTTGTGGCAGGCATCAGGACTTCGTTTCTCTTTACCGCTGAGTAGTATTCCATTGTGTGTATGTACCATGTTTTGTTTATCCATTCATCTGTTGATGGGCATGTCAGTTGTTTGCACTGAACAGGGAACATTCAGTATAAAGAATGATAGAGTGTGCACATTTACTGTTAGTGGGGCAGATGAGCAAATCACTTTCCCTCCTTGAGCTTCCCCTTCCTCATCTGTAAAATGGGTTAATAACACCCACTGTGCAAAGGATCAAGTGGGTTAACATTGTGTTTGCTTTTGGGACTTAACAAATAGATGCTTAGCAAACATGGGTTCTTTTTTTACTTCCTCCCTTCGTGCGTGAGTGAATTTGAGCTTTCCAAGGGTCAGCTGAGTTTGACAGTTTTTCCTCCCTCTCTGCTCGCCTGACCTCCTGACATGCCTTTTTAGTCTCTCGTGGTGATTGTTGGGTCCATGTCTAGGCTGTGAGCTCCCAAGGGTAGGGACTGAGCGTAGGCCCCAGCACACAGTAGGTCTAGATACATCTTTGTTAAATGAGGGAATGATGCATCTGCCATTTCGGATTTCCCCCAGGACAATGAACAGTGCCTGGCTCAGAACATTCAACAGGTGTTTGCTTCATGATCAGTTGAATGAATCCATGAACGAATGAATGACTTGAACAAATGAATTTTGAATGACTCAACTCCATATCTTCCATCTTCATTCTTTCAGTGCACATTTCTTGAGCACCTATTGTATGCCCTGTGCCAGGCACTGGGGATATAGAGCTAAATCAGACACTGTGTCTGCCCTCAGAAGGGTGGGGGGAGTTCCCAGTCTGGTGAAGAGGCAGACGTGTAAACAAATAATTACAATATTACGAGACAAGTGCTAGAATACCAGTAAGTATGAGGTTCTCTAGGAGCCCCCGGGGAGGGAGTCACTAGTCCAGGATACCTTCTCGGCTTAGTAAAAGTAGGATGAAGAGCTGCTGAACTGGTGGATGAGGCTCTGACCCTGGGGATGGGTGGGGTGGGGAGTGCAAATATGCAAAAAAAAAAAAACCCAAACACACACGCACGCGCGGCAGGAATCAGTAGTCTAGTTGAGGAGACAGCATGAACACACAGGCACACACAAACACTGCCATGTGCACACACACATGCACACACACGCTCACACAAACACATACTGACACACACAAACATACATACACAATCACCCAATCACACTCACATGCACACATGCTGCCTCACAAAAACACACGCATGCACACACATACACAGGCACACACATTCACACAAATACACAAACACACATGCCCACAAGCACACACACACGTGCACACACGCACTTACACTCAGGAAACTAACTGGGCTACCTCTGCTGTCCCGGGAGTGGCAGTCCATTCCTAGGAGATGGATGAACACTAGAATGAGGCCAGGTTCAGATCCTAACTGCGCCACTAGCTGGCTGTGTGACCTTGGGCAAGAGATAGGACTTCTCCGAGCCTGTCCTGTGGAATGGCCCCGTGCAGTCATCCTTGGTGGGGTGGTCAGGCAGGCCAGGGAGGATCAAGGTGCTTGGTGAATGCTGGTTGAATTAGCAGTAGAGTTGCGCTGAGGACCAGGTTGGGGCTGGTCAGGCCAAGACAAAGGAGGAGGACATTCCCACCTTCAGCGACTGTTTATTGAGCAGCTCCTGTGGGCCAGGTGCTATTCCAGGTGGTGGGTGCTAGACAAAACTCATGCCTCTGTGAACTTACAGTCTAGTGTGGGAGAGACTCTCAAAGAGACAAAAGAAACAGAAAATGCAATTTCAGGGAAACAGTGTTCTGAAGAAAATGAGTTAAGATTGGTTTAGAAAAATGTCTGGCACATGGTGAGTGTCATAGACATAAAAACAAACAGGAAACAAATAAGAGCAGGGCTCTGTTGTTCTTGCGTGCCTATTTTCTACTCATAGCGACCCTGTGTGACAGAGTAGAACTTCCCCCCGAATGGGTTTTCTAGGTTGTAATCTTTATGGAAGCAGATTGCCAGGTCTTTCTTGCTCAGAGCTGTTGGGTGGTTTTGAACCACCAAGCAGGCGAGCGCTTAACTGTCGTGCCACCAGAGCTCCTTATGTGGAGATCTAGGGGCAGAGAATTCCAAGTAGAGGGAGCAGTAAGTGCAAAGGCCCTGAGGCAGGAGCATGCCTAGAGTGTCAGAGGAACAAGGAGGCCAGGGAGCAAGGGAAGGCGGTAGAAAAGGAAGTTGTCAAGGCTAGGGATCCAGATCACTGTGGCCTCCTACACCATGGCAAGGACATTGTGTTTGGTCCCAACGATGCACACTGACATGTGGTTGACATTAGTAAGGGATTAATCTAGATGTAGATGGCATCCCTACCCCCACTGCCCTTTGTGATGTGTGTCCTCTTCCTTCTGGGTCTGGCAGAGGGCGTGATTAAGAACAAAGGCTCTGGAGTCAGACAGACCCAGGTTCAAATCCTGGTACTGACAGTGACCAGCCGCGTAACTTTGAGCTTGTCTTTTTGGAACTATCTTAGTTTCCTCGTCCTTAAAATAGAGACAGTAATTTCCACCTCATGGAATTATTGGGGGACTCAATGAGCTTTTTTGCCTCTAAAGTATTGAACACCTAGTGTGAGACATAGTAAACCCTCGATAAGGTTCAGATGGGCGGTTCTCAACTAGGGGTGCTTCTGCCCCCAGAGGACATTTGGCAACGTCTGGAGATACTGTCACCCTTGGGGTAATGGGAGGGCGCTACTGGTGTCTAGTGGGTAGACGCCAGGGATGCTGCTAAACTTCCTACAATGCATAGGACAGCCCCAAATGTCAGCAGTGCAAAAGTAAAACAAAAGAACAACCGTTGCCATCAAGTCAATTTCGACTCATAGCGACCCCATAGCACAGAGTAGAAGTACCCCATAGCATTTCCAAGGTTGTAATCTTTACGGAAGCAGACTGCCACATCTTTCTCCCTCAGAGCAGCTGGGGGCTCAAACTGCCAACCTTTCAGTTAGCAGCTGAGCACTTAACCACTGCGTCACCAAGGCTCCTTCTGTCAGTAGTGCAAAAGTTAATAAATCTTGGTTTAGATTAACGCTGTTGAATAGAATATGAGGGGTGCCATGTATGTAATTTAAACTTTTTTTCTATTGTCGTGAAAATACACAGAACAAAATGTACGTCAGTTCAGCAATTTCTGCATGTATAATTCAGTAACATTGATTACATTTTTTTCAAGTTGTGCGACCATTCTCACTACTTTTTTCCAAATTATTCCACCTCCTGTATATGTAATTTTAAACCTCCTAGGAGCCACATGGAAACCCTGGTGGCGTAGTGGTTAAGAGTGCAGCTGCTAACCAAAATGTTGGCGGTTTGAATCCACCAGGTGCTCCTTGGAAGCCCTATGGGGCAGTTCTACTCTGTCCTGTAGGTCACTATGAGTCGGAATTGACTCAGTGGCAATAGGTTTGGTTTTTTTTGGTTTTACTAGCCACATTGGGAGTCCTGCTCAGCTGCTAAACAAAATGTTGGCTGTTCGAACCCGCCCAGAGGTGCCTTGAAAGAAAGGCCTGGCAATCTACTTCCTAAAGATCACAGCCATTAAAAACCCTGAGGAGCACAGTTCTGCTCTGACACACGTGGGGTCGCCATGAGTTGAAACTTACTTCACAGCAACTGGTACTGGTTAGTCACCACATTTTAAAAAAAAAAAAAAAGGAAAAAGAAACAGGTGACTTTAATTTCAGTAGTATATTTTATTTAAACCAATGTATCCAAAATAGTATCTTTTCAATATGTAGCCAATATAAAAGTTATTGGAGAGATTTAAATTCTTTTTTCAGTACTAAGTCTTTGAAATAAAACAACAAACCAAACCATTTGCTGTTGAGTTGACTCCAACTCATGACAAACCCATGTGTGTTAGAACTGTGCTCATAGGGTTTTTTTCTTTTTCATTCAACAAATGTTGAGCACCTATTATGTACCAGGCATTGTGCTGGGAATTTGGCAGTGAAAAAAAAAAATAGATAAAAAGTCTCTGCCCTCAACAGAACTTCAAATTCTTATGGACTCCAGATTTTCTGGAGCCATGGAGGCTGGATGAACCCCTGAAACCACTCCCCTGAGAAAATCTTTAAACGTTAAACCAAAAATATCCCCTAAGTTCTTCTTAAAACCAACAACAATTTCACTTAACTAGTAAAAAATGTCTGCTTTGAGCATTATGCTCTTTTAAGAACTATCTATATGGGATCAAATTGACGACAACAACTCCAAAGATTAGATAGGAAGCTTAGGAGGCAGTGAGTTTATGTAAATGAAGGAGGAACAACTCAGAAAAGGAAGGTGAGAATGGTTGCATAACTTGAAGAATGTAATCAATGTCACTAAACTGTACATGTAGAAACTGTTGAAGTGGTGTATGCTTTGCTGTGTATAGGCTCAACAACATAAATAAGTAAATAAAATTAAAAAAAATTCCTGCCCTCATGAAGCTTACATTCTAGTGGAGGGAGACCACAAAATATTTAAGAATAAGTAAAGTAAGAGAGGATGATAAGTGCAAGGGAGATAAATAAAATAGGGAAGTAGAAATAGGAAGTGTTGGTGCAAAGGGGTTGCAGTTTTAAACAGGATTACAGGGAATAGCCTTACTGCGAAGTAATTATTTGAATGAAGAAGGAAGTGAGGCAGCAAGCCATGTGGATTTCTGAGAACATTCCAGGCAGAAGAAGCAGTAGGTCCAAAGAGCCTGAGGCAAGGGAGTACCTGGTGTGTTGGAGAAACAGCAATGAGTCCAGTATAGCTGATGTGCCCCATAGGGTTTTCAATGGCTAATTTTTTCACAAGTAGAACACCAGGCCTTTCTTCTGAGGCACCTCTGGGTGGACTCTAACTGCCAACCTTTGGGTTAGCGGACAACTGCTTAAGCATTTGCGCCACCTAAGCGGACTGGGTCTTTGAATCTAATGTGTATTTTAAACTCACCAAAAAAAAACAAACCCGTTGCCATCAAGTCAACTCCAACTCATAGTGACCCTGTAGGATAGAGCAGCTGGTGGGTTCCAAAGGCCAAACTTTCAGTTAGTAGCCGAGCTCTTAACCACTGCACCACCAGGGCTCCTTTTTACACTCACAGCACATCACAGTGTGGACCAGCCACATTTAAAGGACTCAGGACTGGGCAGCACAGGCTTATGGTTCCTGAAGTTCTTAGCACAGTGCCTGGTGCTGCGTCCACTAATGGTGACCGTGTGTGTTTTTTCCCTTCACTCTGTGCCACTGCCCTTCCCTCAGGAGACCTGTGCCAGGATCCTCCTGTACCGAGGGGCCAACAAGGATGTGAAGAATAACAATGGACAGACCCCCTTCCAGGTCTGGGGCTGGGAGGGCTGTGCTGGGACTGCAGAGCTGGCATTGGGAGAGGATATATGAAGAAAACAGAAGAGGTTAAGGAAGAAGAGGGGACATTTAGGAGTGTTGGGAGAGAAGAGAGGGGAGTATTGCTGGGGTGGAAGGTTTTGGGCGGGAGGGGCTGCAGGGACCTCACAATCTCCCCTGCCATCCCCCACCCCCACTCCCTCCCTCCAGGTGGCAGTGATTGCTGGGAATTTCGAGCTGGGGGAGCTGATCCGAAACCATCGAGAGCAGGATGTGGGTGAGTGAGTGGAAGCTGGGGTCGAGGGGAGAACCTGGGGCACTTGGGGGCAAGGGATGGGATTGGGGAGTGGGAGGACCTGATTTGGGGGGCCAGGATGGGATGGAGAAAACTCTGGGGGGCCGTGAACATCTGAGTAGTGGTAACCAACTAACCACCCAGTTGCCACTGAGTTCAGTCTGACTCACGCTGACCTTATGTACATCTACATAGAATTGTGCTCCATAGAGTTTTCAATGGCTGATTTTTCAGAAGTAGATTGCCAAGCTTTTCTTCCAAGGCATTTCTGGATGGCTTCAGACTGCCAGGTTTTCAGTTAGCAGCCCAGCACGTTAGCCGTTCACGCCACCCAGGAAGTACATCAGCTAGAACCAGTTGACCACTTGCCGCTGAGTCGACTGACTCCTGGTGACTCCATTGTGTCAGAATAGAACTGCATTACATAGGGTTTTCAATTTCTGATTTTTTGGAAGCAGGTTGCCAGGCTTTTCTTCCCAGGTACCTCTGGGTAGACTCAAACCTCCAACCTTTTGGTTAGCAGCCGAGCACTTAACCATTTGCACCATCCAGGGACAGGAGTAACTGCCAATGCAGAAAACAAAACAATATATAAATCAGTTGCCATCAAGTTGATCCTGACTCCTGGTGACCCCATGTGTGTCAGAGTAGAACTGTGCTCCATAGAATTTTCAGTGGCTGATCTTTTGGAAGTAGATTGCCAGGGCTTTGTTCCAAGTGCCTCTGGGTGGACTTTTGGTTAGCAGCTGAGCAAATTAACTGTTCACACCACCTAGGGACTCCTGTTGTTGTTATGTGCACTTAGGGGGAACGATTCCAAGCCCCTCCCCACTTTTCTCATCTCCACTTTCCTCCCTCATGCCTCTCTCTCCCCCATCTCTTGCCTGTCTGCCTGTGTCTCCCCCACCTCCTCTGCCCCCCCAGTGCCCTTCCAGGAGTCCCCCAAGTATGCGGCCCGGCGGCGGGGACCCCCAGGCACAGGGCTGACAGTGCCCCCGGCGCTGCTGCGGGCCAACAGTGACACCAGCATGGCCCTGCCCGACTGGATGGTGTTCTCAGCCCCAGGGACCTCGTCCTCCGGGGCCCCCGGGCCAACCTCAGGGCCCCAGGGCCAATCGCAGCCCTCAGCCCCCAGCACCAAGCTCAGCAGCGGGACCCTCCGAAGTGCAAGCAGCCCCCGGGGAGCCCGGGCCCGCTCCCCCTCCCGTGGGAGGCACCCCGAGGAGGCCAAGAGGCAGCCCCGTGGACGACCCAGGTAGGGGAGGGACACAGCCCTGGCCCCAGAGTCCCCAACCCAGCCCAACCTCCTCCTTGGAGCCCCACCTCCTTACTTTGTCCCTCCGGTGGCTGGTCCCCCACCAATTCTTCTCATCCATCCAAGTTCCTCATCCCACCCTCGGACCCTCCATCACTCTCCATGCCTCCCCCAGAGGAAAGTGAAGGCAAGGGAGCCCCTCTCTTGACCTCCATCCCCACATGCACCCCAGGTTTTAGCTAAGCGCCTGCGCCATACCCAGGGCCTGGAAGTAGGGGCAAGACACCCAGAAGAATAATAATGGACAGACCCCCCTTCCAGGTCTAGGGCCGGGAGGACAGTGGTAGGGCTGCAGGGGCTGGCGTTGGGAGGACATGAAGAAGACATAGGGAGGTAGGGAAGAAGGGAGGACACTTAGGAGTGCTGGGAGAGGCGGGAGGCCGTGCCAGCGCCTGGGCAAACTGAGAAAGCCCGGGGGAGGTGAGAGGAGGCCTAGCAGAGAGACGGCGGCAGGGGCGGCGAGGGGCTCGGAGAGGGGTGTTAGGGGCTTGGAGATGAGCCTGGAGGAGGAGATGGGCTGGGAGGGGGAGCAGAGAGGTCACTCCGGGAAGGACACTGTGGGGTGGACAGAAGGGAGAGGGGTAGGAAGGGGAGCCGGGCGGGCCAGGCGCGTCCTGAGGAAGTGGAGGTGGGGGGAGGCGGATCGTGGCGGGCTGGGGATGGCAGGCAGCGGAGCTGGACCTGACCCAGCAGGAAGCTGGGAGTCACTGAAGGCTCGTGAGCTGAGGGATGACACAGTCGGAGCTCAGCTCCAGGAAGCTGAATCAGGCAGTGTGTGCTGGAGGGTGGGAGGGGGCAGCGGGCAGGCAGAGGCAGCCCCCAAACGCCCCCTGCCCCCGAGGATGCCAGAGCTGGGAAACATACTCAAATCCCCTCCTTCACCTTGATGCTCCATCCCCCCCTCCAACCCGCACCCCAAGGACCCCTGTTGTCCCAGCGGTGCTCCCTCCCTCCACTCTCCCTTGCCTCTCACACCCTCTGTGTACGCAGCTCCAGCGGGACGCCCCGGGACGGGCCGGCCGGGGGCACAGGGGGCTCAGGGGGCCCCGGGGGCTCCCTGGGCAGTCGCGGGAGGCGGAGGAAGCTCTACTCGGCTGTACCTGGGCGCTCTTTCATGGCGGTGAAGTCGTACCAGGCGCAAGGCGAGGGGGAGATCTCCCTGAGCAAGGGCGAGAAAATCAAAGGTACCTGGGGCAGGTGGTGCAGGCGTGGGGCAAGGGTGGGAGGAGGTGAGCTAAAAACTCAGGCAGGAGATGTCACTCAGTCACTTAACAAACAATGCTTCCGCTCCTAATATGCCCAGAGCACTCCGGTGAGCGCTGAGAAGCCCCCTCCGCCTTTGAGGAGCATCAAATGTAGCTGAGGTGACACCAGCGGGAGGCAGTATTGAGGCGAAAGGAGGAAAAATGAACCTTTGTAGGGCACCGACATGGGTCCCTGGGTGGCACAAAGGGTTTGTGCTCAGCTACTAACCAAAAGGTTGGCAGTTTGAGTCCACTCAGTGGTGCCACGGAAGAAAGGCCTGGTGATCTACTTCTGTAAAGATCACAGCCATTGAAAACCCTACAGGCTACTCTGTAACACATGGGGTCACCGTAAGTTGGAGCTGAGTAGATATCAGTGAACAACAACTAACCAAAAGGTTGGTGGTTCAAGTTCACCCAGTAGTGCTGTGGAAGAAAGGCTTGACGATCTCCTTCCATAAAGATTTTTGTTAGGTGCTGTCAAATTGATTCCGACTCATAGCAACCCCATGTGACAGAGCAGAACTGCCCCATAAGGTTTTCTATACTGTGATCTTTACGGGAGCACATCGCCAGGCCTCTCTTCCATGGTGCCGCTGGATGGGTTTGAACCACCAACCTTTCGGTTAGCAGCCAAGTGCTTAACTGCTGCACCACTGGAGCTCCTATCTGCAAAGGTTACAGCCATTGAAAACCCTATAGAGCCCAGTTCCACTCTGAAACTTATGAGGTCGCCATGAGTTGGAATCGACTCAACGGCAATGGGTTTGTGGGTTTTTTTTTTTTGTTTTTTTTTTTGATTCTGAGCCAAGCACTGTTAGGGCGATTCACCTGCGTGGTCTCATCTTCGTTACAGTCGTCCTTCCAGGGCAGGTTCTATGAGCCCCATTGTACAGTGGAGGACACGGAGCTTCTCAGAGGTGACTTGCTCAGGGTCAAGGTGTTTCCTCTTACCTGATGCTGAGCGTGAAGCCAGGCTCTGCCTGGTGTTGTCACCTGCAGGATGGGGCGGTGCCTGCCTCGTGGGGCTGGGATGAGGCTGTGATGAGAGAGCGGACACGCCATGTGAGGTCCATGGCGAAAACTCTTTGGCTTTGCAGTTCTCACCTGCAACAGTCCCTACTCTGCAGACCCCGCAGGGCTTTTGACTATGTCCTTGGATAGCACAGGGCTTTGGAGGCAGGGAAGCACGCTGCAAATGTGGCAGTTAATATGACAGGCATGGTTCTTTGTCAAACCCTAGACTACAGGGAAACTGTGTAGTGTGGTGGTGGAGAGCCAGGCATCCCGGGTTCAAATCCTGGCTCCACCACCTCCTAGCTGTGTGACCTCAGGCAAGTGACTTCTCTGGGCCTTGGTTTCCTCATCTGAAAATGGAACCCTTGTGAGGTTTAAATGAGTCTGGTCATGTAAAGCACTCAGAACAATGCTTTGCACAGACTGTTGTTGTTAGGGCCTGACTAACGGTGCCCCCACACACAGCAGAATGAAATGCTGCCTGGTCCTGTGCCACCCCCATGATGGATTGGGGATCAGACTGTTGTGCTCTACTGGGTATTCATTGGCTTATTTTCAGGCGTAGATCGCCAGGCTTTTCTTCCTAGTCTTAGTCTGAAAGTTCCGCTGAAACCTGCTCAGCATCATAGCAACACAAAAGCCTCCACCAACAGATGTGTGGTGGCTGCACATGAGGTGCATTGGCCAGGAATGGAAGCCAGGTCTCCCGCATGGAAGGTGAGAATTTTACCATAGTTTGCGCATAACAAACGCCATATAAGTGCCAACAATCATTGTCATAGGCGGCCCCTGCTACAGACACTTAGAGGAGAGAGGCCCCAACTGCCTGAGTAAGCCAAGAAGGTCTTGCCATGTGAGGTGGAGCTTGAGCAGGGCCTTGAAGTGTGTGCAGGAATCAGACCATCAGGCGGGTTGCACAACTGCATCATTATCTATTTTGTAGTCTGTCTCCTCATAGACTGAGCTCCTGAGGTCAACGTCCAAGTCACTGGTCTCAGGGTCATCAGGACCCAATCTACAGACCCAGCACACAGAGGGCTGAATATGAACTAGCTGAGAGAATGAATGACCAAATACAGGAGCTAAACGTGGGGGCCAGGTGCAATGCCTTTGGGAGCCAGTGTGCCTGGGGTGTGTGTACATGGAGGGGTGGGGTGTCTGTGCTTCAGAGAGTGGCAAAGAAGAAAGGGAAGCTGAGGCCAGGAGTGAGGGACCTTCTGGGCAGACAGTACTGTGCACAGTATCTTCCTGAACTTCAAGCCCAATACTTTTGTGTAGGGAGAGGACCCACTGCTCTCTGTTTTTATACCCCCGCCCCACCTTCATCGTAAAAAGGAGCCCTGCTGGCACAGTGGTTAAGTGCTCGGCTGCCAACTGAAAGGTTGGTGATTCAAACCCACCAGCCACTCCACGGGAGAAAGATGTGGCAGTCTGCTTCCATAAAGATGTACAGCCTTGGAAACCCTGTGGGGCAATTCTGCTCTGTCCTATAGGGCCTCTATGAGTTGGCATTGACTCAACGGCAACAAGTTTGGTTTTTTTGGTTTTCTTCATTAAAAGGCACTTTATTGCCTCCAAGCAAGCCCACATCCACAGGGCCACTGAGCTTCTCCATGGTCTCCCTCTGCTCTCAGAATCAAATCTGGAGGCCTTAACTTGGCCTCTAAGCCCCTCCCCAAGGCCTCCAGCCCCTGCCCATGTCGCCAACGTCATCTCATGCCACTCTCCCCTTCACCCACAAGGCTCCAGGGACCTCACCCTTCTCTCCATTCTTGAAATGCTCCAAGCCCTTTTCTACACCAAGCTCTTTAAATGTGCTGTTCCTCCTGCCTGGAAAACCCTTCCAGCTTCTCTGCCTCCTCAATTCCTAGGATCCTTCAGCTCTCAGCTTATATGCCACTTCCTTAGGGACACCTTGCTGGTCCCCCTCTGCCATCTGATTTATATACTCCCATCTACCTTCTCTTCAGACAACCTGTTCTTTTCCCCCGAGCACTGACCTCAATTTCTAATCATACAGTCACTTGTGGGTTTATGCCTCTAATGGCCACTAGTCTGGAAGCTCCATGAAGGCAGGAACCACGTTTGTTGTGTTTCAACAGCCAGTGCCTAGTGCCTAGTCTGGGGCCTGACTTATGAAGGCACTAAATGAATATTTGCTCGGTGGATGACTAATTACAAGACCAGCCAGCCAGGCACAGTGGAGCCAGATGAGAACGCAGACTTCTTGACCCTCCATCTCCTGCCCTCCTCTGCACCCTTGCATTCCCCCTCTATTTGGCTTCCCCAGATCCTCCTGAAAAGCATCGGATGGCCTTGACTCCAATCCTAGTCTGACCTGAGCCGTCGCTGGGCAAGGGACCTTCCTGCTTTGGCTTCAGCTTCCTTGTCTATAAAATGGGAAAACATTTATTACCTCATCTCTGGGTGTAAGAATTTAGTGTGGGTAAATAGGTCAGAGGCAGAGTGGGGACCTAAGCAAAACCAAACCCATTGCCATCTAGTGAATTCTGACTGATGGTGACCCCATGTGTTACAGGGTAGAACTGAGCTCCATCGGGTTTTCTTGGCTGTAATCTTTACAGAAGATCACCAGGCCTTTTTTCCGTGGTACCACTGGGTGGGTTCGAACTGCCAGCCTTTAGGTTCACAGCTGAGCACAAACCATTTGCACCACCCAGGGACCTTGAAACAGGTCGGGACAGAGCTGTGAAAAATACTAGAGAAAATAGGAGAATGTGTGTTTGTTCCTGGGACCATCATCATCAGCAACAGCAATATCAAAATTGTTTAGATGGAGATGTAGCAAAACATGAGCGATTAAAAGCATTAGCTCTAGAAGGCGATAGAGCTGGGTTCCACTCCAAGCTCTGCCAGTGACTAGCTGTGTAGACTTGAGCAAGTGACTTCGGTTCTCTGGGCCTCAGTTTCCCCAGCAGTTGTTGTTGTTAGTTGCCACCGAGTGGGCTGTGACTCATGGCGACTCCATAGTCAACAGAACAAAACCTTGCCCGGTCCTGTGCCATCTTCACCATCATTGGTATGCTCGAGTCTGTTGTTTCGGCCACCATGTATTTTGAGTGCCTTCCAACCTAGGGGATTTATCTTTCAGCACTATATCAAACAGTGTTCTGTTATGATCCATAGGGTTTTCATTGGCTATTTTATGGAAGTAGATCACCAGGCCTTTCTTCCTAGTCTGTCTTAGTCTGGAAGCTCCACTGAAACCGATCCACCATGGATGACGCTGCTGGTATTTGAAATACTGGTGCATAGCTTCCAGCATTATAGTAACACATAAGCCACTACTGTACTACAAACTGACAGATGGGTGGTGGATTAAAAGCATTGTTGTTGTGTGCCCTCGAGTCATTTCTGACTCATAGTGACCTTATAGGGCAGAGTAGATCTGTCCCATAGGGCTTCCTAGGCTATAATCTTTATGGGAGCAAGTCGCCAGGTCTTTTCTCCCTCAGAGCCTCTGGTGGGTTCCAACTGCTGACCTTTCGGTTAGCAGCTGAGTGCTTAACGATTGCGCCACCAGGGCTCCGTATTAAAAGCAGTAGAGGTAGCAAAACATGAGTGACTGAAAGCATTAGCTCTGCATGCAGACAGAGCTGTGTTCAAATGTAGGCTCTACCACTTATTAGCCATGTAGCCTTGGGCAAGTGACCTTGGCACTCTGGGTCTCAGTTTCCTCATCAGTAAAATGGGGATAATGAACATGTCCCCTCCTAGGGTTTCGACCTAGAGTGAGAGCTGGATAAACATTAGTCATCCTTGTCATCCTTTGTACCTCAACGCCCAGTGCAGCGCTGGGCATGGAGCAGGCGGACTGTAACTGTGTGTTGAATGGCTAAGAGGTGGGGCTGGGAGGAAGCCGCCTCAAAGTTATGAGGTGGTGGGGAGAAGCAAAGATGTGATTTTACTCCTGTCTCTCTTTTAGAGCCGGGGCGGCAAAGAGAGGTGGAGGGAAAACTCTGGGAGGAAAATATTAAAAATTAAGTGGGGAGGAGATTGGGCGAGGTGGCAGGAGCATTCAGGGTGGGGGTGTAGAACTCGTCCCCGCAAAGGTAATCTGAGTCCACCAAGTTTAGGGAAATTACAGAGCAAGTGAGCTATGACCAGTGACCAGGGGAGGGGAGGACAGAGTGTGGACATGCTCCTGACGTATGAGGCTGTGTCATGGAAGACAGCCTTTTCCCCCAGTGCCTTTGGACATCCCCACTGGATCTAGAAAGCTGGAATGCAGAAGTGACATCATCTTGTCCCCCAAGCATTTATGAAGGATACACCTGTGCTAGATGCTGGGACTTGTGGGCAGGCTGGGCGTGGAGGACTGAGAACAGCATAGAAACACAGAAATGTTTCTATGTCCCTGTCCCCCCACCCAGTGCTTAGCATCGGGGAAGGAGGCTTCTGGGAAGGCCAGGTCAAAGGTCGTGTTGGCTGGTTTCCCTCTGACTGCCTGGAAGAGGTGGCGAACCGCTCCCAGGAGGGGAAACAAGGTAATGAGGAACCCCCTCTTGTCCCCAGTGTACCCTAAGATTCTAATGCTCCTTCCTTTCCCCCTGCAGATGGGGGAGCTGGGAGGTGGGTGGGCCTGTGGTTTTGAGAGTGAGGATCCAGTGCCGTCTGTTGCCCCCTCTGCAGAAAGCCGCAGCGACAAGGCAAAAAGACTCTTCCGGCATTATACCGTGGGCTCCTACGACAGCTTCGATGCCCCAAGGTAAGGGTCCTTACACTCTTGGGCACCCCTCACCCTAACCTCCCTTCACACTCTACACCTTTAAATATTTCCACCTCCTCAAGGCCCCGTTTCTCTTCTCCTTTTAAGATTGGATCTGGGGGTGGGTGAAGGCAGGGTTAGCTTCAAACGACATAGCCCTGCCCCAGATCATCCTGGGCAACCACTGAGACTGCTCAACTCCAGTGACCAGTGGAGGGAGCAGGGGATGGACAGGGGAGGGGGGCCCTGGGGTGGGGATGCCTGCAGACCCAGGAGCTCCTGTGTATGGCTGGCTGGGGGCCAAAATCACGTGCAGCGAAAGTGTGTGTGCAGGGGAGTGGGGAGGGGGGCAGGCAGGGCAGGGCTGGGCAGGGTGGGATGTGGAGAGGGCCCACTGACGCCTTTCCCCTCCCTGGCTGCTGGCTGACTTGCTTCGGAAGCTTGATGGATGGGATTGGCCCAGGGAGGTGAGAGGGGAGGGGAAGGGAGGGCACAGGGTCAGGCACGGGAAGGAAGGGGGTGCCTGTGGGGGAGTGGAAGCGTGTGCACGCGCGCGCGTGTGCACGACTGGAGCTGAAGTTCCCCATCTCACGAATGATCACCCTCGTACAGCCTCCCCTATCGTGTCCTTGCCTGCGTGTCTCTGTAGGTGCGCATGACCCGTGTCTACGTGCATGTGTGGCTGGAGTGCCCCCACGTGGACATACACCCCGGCCTCATGCGTCTGTCCTGCTCTGGGTACATGGGTGCATTTGTGGCCCTGCACACCTGTGTTTCTCGGAATCTGTCTGTGGGTCTGAGGATGTGGGCAGCAGTGTGGGTTTGTCTGCTGCACATGGGTACAGGTGGGTTTCTGCACACGCCTGTCCCTCTCTGTGCATGTCACTGTGTGCGCGCATCCGCACATCAGAGCGTGTGCATGCGTTTGTATCTGTCTAATGGATCTGGAATTCAGGGCCGGGGTGTTGCAGAGCAAGGGGTGGGGGTGCAAAAGAGGAAGAGGTGGGGGAAGACTCCAGAGCTTGGGCTTCCAGCAGGGCAGGACTGTGGGGGAGGGCTGATCATCATAATTTGGTGTCTGAAAGATGACAGTCTCCCCCCCACCCCAGCCACTACCCCCAATCCAGGGAAGGGTCCCTTGTTCGTAGCATCCTTCCATTAAATGTGTCCAAACCTTTGTGTCTGTGTTCTGGCCGTGGGGACGGGTCGGGGGTGAGGGGAAGAGATATAGCAACATGAGGGGAGGGAGAGACGGGTGCCACCCTGCGCCCCGAGTGTCTGAGGCGCTTGACCGTTGTGCGTGTTCGCTGGACACGTCTCTGGCTCTGGGCACCCGGTGAGTATAGAGGTCCTCCCAACCTGCGTCTCTCCACCTATCAGCTTCTGCTTCTGGTCTCCCTCAGAGTCTCTGTGAGTCTCTCCTCGGCCTTGGTCTTGGGGTCACTTGCTCCACCAGTTGGGTAGGAGTGGTCCCTCTAGCCCTCTGCTGCCTCCTTCTCCCCCTCTAGCTCTGTCCTGTCAAATGCCTTTCTTCCCATTTTCCTCCCTTCCTGGTGCCTGCTCCCGTGTGCTGCTCTGTATGGGGGGTGTTGAAGCGTCCCCTTCCCCCTCCCACTGCACTCCGTGACCCTGACCGTGGTTGCGCGGCGTGGGTTGTGCTGTGCGCCCTGCTCCTCATTTCTCTCTCCCAGTACACCTGCTGGAGCCGTGTGGTCCTGCCACGGTACCCCCTCCTAACGTGCGCCCCTCCCCCGTCTCCCCTCTCCCTCAGTGTCCACCGCCCTCCTGTAAGCTCTGCTATGTGGATGTACCTCCGCCTGGGCTTCTCTGGGGGGAGGGGTGTCTCTCACTGCCTTGGGGCCCAGTCTAAATGTCCTGGCCTTCTTCTCGCGGCCTTTCCAGACAGTGTTGCGGACGTGGTGTGTCGGTCTGTGGTGGTGGGCTGCTCGCCCCCTTCTGGCGCCTCTCTCGCCCGTGGCGACCCTGCCCGGGCAGTGGGGCTCGGTCCGCGCGTCCCTGCAGGCGGTCTCGAGGCATCTGTGTGATGTTGTGCGTCCCTCTCCCTGCGCTCCCTCGCTCTGCACCTGCGCGGGAGGGCTCTGGAGGGGGGAGGGGGAAGGGGGGCTAAGGGGGGGCAGACCGGAAGTGCCTCCCCCTTCTTCTCCTGCCCCCCC